ATATCGTATTAAACATCTTCTATAAAAGCCAGGGAGAAAATGATTCTGAATAAATTTTGTTATCTTATAGTCATACGTTTAGCGGTTGGCAACAAAAATGCCACTGCAGCATCATTGTCTTGGGAGGTACCCTCGTCCATGGCAAGTTTCATCGATTGGTTTTATGTTTTATACAAACAAGATGAAGGAGATCAAAATTGGAAAGTACTCAAAACAGCAAAGTTAAATGTGGACATTGGTGGCCTTCTCTCTTCTACACAATATATTGCCAAAGTCATTGGAAATAGCAGTGCAACAGGTTACTGGAGTAGTCCAGTGAAGTTCAGGACATCACATTGTAAGTTTGACATTACCACCATGTGCATATTTAACTTTCTGTAGGTCTCTGGTACTATCATAATAAACTGAAATGTAAAAATGTGTTGTTTGATCTGTTACTACCTTTCCACGCCATCACAGAGCAGAAGTGTCTTGATCAATTTGTGTTCCTTGGCAACATGTCAATAACACATGATGAGAGTTAATCAGAATGCCGGACATAAATGTAATATTTATTCACTGGAAAAAATCGCGCGCTTTAAAGCTTGTAAATTTGATGTTTATATGATGTAAGTGTCCAAAATGATGTAAATTTGATGTAAATCATTTCCTTCAAATTTACATCATTTTGGACACTTGCATCATATTTCCATCACATTTACAACCTTTATGGTGCGCGATTTTAGTGCCGTTATAATTTATAGAAAAAGCAATGATAAAGTAACTTAGAAAATACAAATCTTTTTTTTACGCGGAAAGCATGCAATTTATTTTTTTATTTTTGTGTTTTTGTCAATTAAAATAGTGCCAACGACTGCTTCAGGTGAAAAACCATCGACAAAGCTCACAGGTAACGAATAAAGTTTTCAAGAGTTGTCAAATGAAAAACAATCCGTAAATAAATATTCATCTCTGAGCAAGGTTCTCTAAAAAGTAAAATTGCTATTAACAGAGTCAGTGAAGCTGATGTATAGCTATGGTACCAGTGAAGG